AAAAATACTACGAAAGGCACAGTGACGGGCTGCCAATATTTTAACAAACACCTACAAAAATGTGTAGGTAAGGTGGCTTGTGATAAGACCCTTTCACTACAGTCAAGTTTGCTTCCAGAGGAGAGGGCGGAGGGGCTGCAGAATCTATTCATTTGATTTCCCTTTAAAACAATAACGCTTTCTTATAATCATAAGGAGGCAACACAACATGGCAAACAAGACTTTGTTCAGTGTCCTGGGCTGGAACTTTTTAGAGTTGATTCCTGAAAAATGTGTGAGGTGAGTTTCACTGGCAGCGGCACAAGAAGCAATAAATTACACCTCTGTGGGCCAGCAAAGCCGCTTGTACCTTAAAAGGAGGGATTCATCCTGAGAAAGAACAGACCACTGCTGTCCTTCCTCTGAATTTTCAGCTGAGAGAGAGAGAAAAGCTTTCCATAATAATCAGGCTCCACTGGCACCCTTCTCCTGGAATATGAATCAGCTCATTCCCCGACTGCCCTGGCCTATTAATGGGAGCATGCTCTCTGTCTCTGATTCTAGTTGCTTTGACAAGTAGCCGAACTTTACACCATCAGACAGGGAAAAGAATTTATTTCCCAATTATCTTAAGGGGCCATATTGGGCTGAATTATCTACTTCTTCCCCAAGGGGATCAGACTTGATTACACAATGGCTCAATTATATCTTCTATTTGAAGGAAAAGCATGCAGGAGAAATGCAATCACACCTGGAACAGAGTCACTCTCCTTATATTATTAAGGGTAACGCCTTCCCCTTTGTGGTTACTATTACCTTATGATCTTTACTAGGTTGCCAGATAATGTCAAATTGGGTCAGTTTCCATTACATCACCCAGGGCAAAGCTTGCAATTTGGATTCCTATGTCACAAGCGGAGGGGCTCCAGCCCGCTTTAGATATTTATTGCAACAGAAAGGCTTGCCAATCCACACAAAATTGTTTCCTATTTCTCTCATTGTATCCTGCCTGGCCTCCTAGTTTTACTGGTAGGACTGCTGCTGGACCTATCCTCCCATCCTTTTGTGATGGTCCTGCCCCCATGCATTTGCTACATGCACATTCTCTCTTCAGGTGACATTTTAACTCATTTGGGCATATGTGATTTAGAAAAGGAGAACGGAGATCACAAGTCTGGCTCAGGAAGTCACAATCCTTGAAGATCTAATTCTAGAAGGGTCCCTGGAATTCCAGTTCCAAGAGCCTACAGCAGGTGGGGCCAGTTGCCAAAGCAATATAGCTTAGATTGGAAGAGATGGGTCAACGTAGTTATATTATATAATACAGATTAGTATTTATACCATGGTCACAGGCATCACACACTTAGCATCTATACAGCTCTTTTAATTTGTAGGTCTTAAAGCACAAAGGTGGGTATGTGTCGTTATTCTACCTTTACAGATGGGAAAACTAAGGCACAAGAGGCGAAGCTAACATTCTCAAACCTGGGGGCCTAGCACTAGGCTCCTAAGTCTATATTTAGTCATTTATAGAGAAATGATCTTGATCCCAGAAATGGTGAGCACCTGCAGCAACCTGTGATTTCAACGCGAAACGTAGGGCTGAGCTCTCATGGAAGTCAGGCTGTTTCTATTTAAATGCCTAAATACAGATTAAGAAGCTTAACTTTGGGCACCTAGGTTTAAAAATGTCGGCCCTGAGGGACTTGGTGAACGCCACAGAGTCAGTTGCAAAGCTCGGAAGAAAGCCTAGTCTTGCGGCTCTGTGTTCATTTCACTCAGAGCATAGCTGACAGCTGGTTGGCATCAGCTATCACACTGTCCTGGGCCAACTTATAAAATCATACTAGTTAGAGATGGATTTTTTCCTATCTACCTGTTAATGCAGACTTGTTCATAGCAGTATATGGTGAAATCCACACTAAGGGCCACACCTTTATTTCTTGTTAAAGACAGATTTAAGTAATGAATTCAATATTTAGCATCACTTTCTGACCTTTTTACTCACAATGAGTAGTATCTTACTCCTTTAGTCCCACTGATTTCAATTTAACTGAATTCAGGTACTATTAAGGTTGGCAGTGTCACAGTTTCAGGATAATTGCACTTATATTCCCCACCTCCATGGTCCGCTCCAGGAGTTCACAGTCAGGTCTTCAGCCATGACCTGTCTCTGGACAGGGACCCTTGTCCCACTCCCTACTGACCAAGTGGCCTTAAATCTTCTCAGCCCCCTTCCACACACTGTGATATCCCCAGCAAGCCAGTCTGCCTAATGGCCAGCACCTGTACATTGCTTTCCTGCTGAAGGCTATGAACAGTGTATTGCCAAAAGTTACGTGTTACCCCACAGCTCTTTCTAAGCAAGCACATTTATTCTTAAGCATTACAGAGAACACATATTAAAAAACAATCAACATATTTAAAACACACATTAAACATACCTGAAGTCACCCATTAGTCTTATGGGGCCCTAGTTGGCCAAAGTTCTTCCAACTCTTCTGCAAGGGTTGGAGCGCCCCATGGACAGAAGTTACAAGTGTAACTCTGGAGTAATTCCTCTGAAGTCCATGGAACTGCTGTGATTTTACATCAATGTAACTGTATGCAGAATTTGGCCCCAGATTTCTAATTTCTCCCCATTTTTCTTTCTTGAATCCTAACTTTGTGTTATTATGAATACAATCCCTTTCTAAGGGCTATACTGGACCATCGGTTTTTAACAAGAACTCTCCACTGGTTTCTCTGGGCACTTCCAGTAAAAAATGGATGGTAGGCTGTGGCTTTGTGTAACCTCTGAAAATGCAACAGAAAATGGCACCAACAAGGATATAAAACTCAGGAATGTTTTTTAATCATGTAAAATTTTAAGGTGCCACAAGTACTCCTTTTCTTTTTGCGAATACAGACTAACACGGCTGCTACTCTGAAACCTGTATTTTATTTTAGTGGCTTTTGTGTTTTGGCTGAATAGGTTTGGCTGGTGCTTTATAAACTAGAGCACTATAAGAGTGTTAAGTACTTGTTAATGAGTACAGAAGAACTTCCTGACACTCAGACAGCTGTGCATTAAAGATCTGATCCAATGCCCACTGAAAGTGATGGAAAGATTACCACTGACTCCAGAGAGCACTGAATAAGTTATAACAAAGAGACCAAATCCAGTACACATGTATAAATAAATCGGAGCCTGGGCCATCGCTATTTCAGTCAAAAGAATTTGAGGCAATTACATTTTCCTTCTTCCATAAGCCCATCCATAAATAATGTTGGAGAGAAAGATTCTGTTTTTAACAGTAGTCAGTTTAGCATAGACTTAATACTGATGCATTTTCAGCCTTTGGGGAGTTTGTTCATCATCTGTTATAGATATTGCGGCAATAGAAGCCATCACAATGCATACAGCATTCTGATGCAATGCCCCCCCCCCCCGTCCCCCATCAGGCAACAGAGAACACTGAGGCATGCTCATGAGACTTCTGTATTTTTTAAAACAATATCAGATATGTGGAGTGAACATACTGGAGTGCTTCTTAATCCTGATATCACAATTGCTCCTGCCCTGCAATTAGAAGTCCATCTTGCAAAGCCAGATTGGTTCCTAATTATTCTAGTGTAGAGCTTTGTCAAATGTAGGCTACTGGCCATATTATGCCCTCACTACTCACATGAAGCTGACATAAAGAGTGAAATCCTGGCCCCACTAAAGTCAGTGGTAAAACTCCCCATGACTTCAGTTGGATCTGAATTTTACCTTAAGTGTCTAATAGACATTCAGGTCTCAAACTTAGCCTTTACTATTCAAACACACAGGTGTTTATATAATCAGCCTTGTCAGGTCCACTGTTGAGAGGAAAAACCTTCACCAGTCCATATTTGACTCCTGGTTTAAAAGTGAGCTGGGGTTTCTTAATTGTAACGTGAGTGTAATCCTCTGAAAAGATCCCAGGCTTAAATGCCTGTATTTCTCTATTTACCCACCAAAAAACAAAAACAAAAAAAAAAAGGCATGACAAATAGAGTGAGGTGTGTGCTGTGTAAAAATACATTTGCCTATCTTTCATAAGCATTCAGTTCACATTTCAGTTAATAGAGGTGGACAGTTTGCTTTCAAAAAAGGAGTCGTGTGAACCAGTAAAGATTTTTCCTTTCAGCAATTTGCATCTGACCAACCCGTTTACACAGAACATCCTGTTTGGATCAAGAGTTGGAGACCTGAATATCTTCATCAGATTCTTTGGGACAGATCCTTAGTCAGTGTTCTGTTGACGTTAATGGAGCTACATGGATTTACAGCAGCTGAGGATATGGTCCCTTATGTCAGCTGCATGTGGGTATTGGAGGCACAATATACCCCTTCGCCTACTTTCCAAAAACTTCTACACTACAAAAACTAGGAAATAATCTAGCTTTGCAACACAGACATCTAATTACAGGGTGGGAGCACTCATGATATCAGGACTGAGCAGTGCTCCAGGGTGTACACCGCACGTATTTGATACCATGAACAGTACAGAGAGAAGTCTCAGTGCTCTCTGCTGATTGTAAAGGGTGTGTTGTATCATGCCTCTGCTAACCTGGATAAAATTTTAAACAAAATTTACCCCTCTTTCTCCTGCTCAATTAGCTCTTGAAAGATCCTCATCTTGCCACTTATAACTGTGACACCTGATTGAAGAGGTCTGCACAGATGTAAGCAAGGTATTAGGGCATGAAGTTTCATGGTTAAATGGGGAGAACATGGCTCACTTGGGTCTAAGAAAACAACACACTTTGAGCACAATAAACAAGTTCTACATCATTTGAAATTCATGGATTTCCATTGAGTTATTTCTGACTTACATTGATGTAACTGAGTGGAGAATGAGGTTCTTTGTATGCTTTCAAAGGCCCTGATTCTGCCACCCTTACTTATTCTGAACATTACCTTACTCCATGAGAAGTCTCACTGTAGCCCATGGAGCTACACTTTTGTAAGAGGAGAACCAGACCCAGAATCTGAAAATATTTCTTTCACTTACTTGTCAATACTGGAGTTCAGGATTTTATGTCTCCTTTTATGCTCTGATTTTGTTGGTTGAGGTTTTGCAACGGTTGCAGAGGAAACATGAAACCCTGAGTTCAGGATTGCAGTTAATGCTGTCAAACCTGCAACTGCAAGTCAAGAACACACACAAATGTTACTGTTAAGTTTACTAATCATATTCCAGTGTTTTGTGGTGTTGGATATACACTGTTTCCTGCTGGCTGAGATAACAACTTGTGACTCCTGATGAAGTAGGATTGCGCCTTTTTTATCATGAGACAGAGGAAGATGGTAGGTTTATTTAAATGAAACCTCCATCCTCAATTTCACTAATTCTCTCCACAATCACATGCATCAACTTGGATGTATTATTTATTCTCTTCCACCTTCAGCTGCAACGGTATCCAAGCTCAAGCAAAATGCATGGCATAAGCATGTGGCAGATGGAAAAGACATGCGCACGCTGAATCTAGGGTCTTGCAGACGTGCGCCCCAGCTGAATGATTTTGTAGGTGCTCCCAGATGTGTCTGAATCATTTATCTAGGGTTTGTCAGGAAATATATTGGAATGTCTGTCAAATTCTGTGAATGAGAGATTGGAGGTTCATGTACACAAAAGTGTGTGCAATTGTTTGCCTAACTTTGTGTGTTTGTGCATTTACTGCAATTGGGGATTTGCACTTGCAAAGGGCTAGTCAGGGATCTAAATGGGCTATTGTTTGGCGAAACATTTGATACTAATTGCTCGTGCAAAGTAAGTGAGCAGTTGCATGTGCATTCTGCACAAAGAATCACCCAAAATGCAGCCCATCAAACCTGCACATATATTTTTCTAACAATCTGAGATCTCATTCATTCCTTTCTTTTTACAAGGTCTTGCAGTTCACTTTTAGAAAGGAAATAAGCCACTGGTTCATCCTTAGTCCTTAGATCATTTTACACCATTTTCCCCCCATGGGTTTAAACTTAATGTAGTATATATGTTTTCACAGCTATTAAGTTAAGAGTCTGACACACTGAACACTGCTTTGTTTGCAGTGACACCTACTGGTAGAAACAGGCGGCAAAGACTAAGATCTGCCCCTTCTATTCACCACATTACCTATTGTTTTTCTTCCTTCTCCATGGCAAGTCCTCTGTCAAGCATTTGTGCCCAGTTGAAGTTTCTCATTCACTGAGTTAATATAAAGCTATTTATTATGCTTTTTGCAGATTCATTACCATCCTTATCATGGAAGAAAATGATGATCCCTGCCACTACAAGTGTATGTGTGGAGTGATTGCAAAATCCTGTTCTATTAGTAATAATAATTTTGAATACCTGAAAGTATGCTAGGCACTTCTCACAAACAAGTAGACATGTTCTCTGTCCTGAAGAACTTACAGTCCACATTGTCATGACCCTGGGTTTCCTACAAGACAGTCTCAGATACCTGCAGCCATCATCAAGCTTCTTACTTGGAAATTTTACCTCAGGGCACTCTTCCCTCTGTTCCCTCTTACAAGGATCTTGGCCTTAGGAGCAGGGGTCTCTGATAGGTATGGTCAGTGTTCTTCAAAGGCCGCTGCAGAAATCACCCTTCAACACAGCTCCACTGCAGATTGAATTAATAAACTTGTAATTTGTTATTTTCCATTAAAAGCTATGAACTCCGGTACTGATCTGAAAGTGCCCACTGTCCTTTTCAAGCCCCGCAAAGTCTTATTTCATACCCTAGTTTAGGCTTCCTTTCCATAAGCCACAGAGTCCAGTGTTCTCTTAATCTGGTCTCCACACCACCCTCTCAGCAGCCCAGACCGCCATCATCCCCGATGGACAGTCTCAGGAGCCAGAGAACTTTCTTGGCAACTTCCATGAGCCCAGACCAAACCGCCTACAGCTGGCAATTCTCCACACTCACTCCTCCAATGAACTTTTGAACCAACATTCTGGAATGGCTCATAGCAACCCAATGGGCCTCACAGAGTCTTTAGGTTTCAAGCCACTACCTGAACTCTACCCATATATTTTACTTCCCACATACCTCACACCTAAAATAATATAAACACAACACATACCCTAACATTCTCCACACTGCCTGGCGAAGAAATCTTATGAATTCTAACATAACCATCATTTAGAATCCAGGCACCAAAACCCACCCTGGGACTGAGGCCCATGCCATCAGAGGTCAGGCAATGGGGTACAATTTCAGTTCAATTTTATAATACTTTATTGGCCTGACAAACTATACAAATGTTGTCAATGTACGAAGACCAAACAGAAAACTTCAATTACTTGCCTTGCCTTGCTAATGAGAATACTGTGTATTATTTTTACTATCTACTATTCAAAGACTAACAACAATTATTAAGTATCAATTACACAACCTGCAACCATTGCCTACTAATCAAATCAAAATAACTGGACAACTAGAAATGAGCCTTTTGGTCAAAGTACAGCCATTTAAAACAGTATCATTTTGATAAATAAGGTGTTTTCTGATTGGCTTAACCACAAAACAAATTTGTTCCGCAAAGAATCCAATCCCAGTAATTGTCACTGTAGTGTATTAATGCAGATCAGAAAAACAAACATGTTCTTGAATTATCTGTTTCTTCTATTGGTATTTCAATCAGAAGGTAAAGTGGAAAGGAAGTCACAGGCATATAATGCTATCAGGGAATAAATATCTTTCACTTTGAAAACGAATGCCTCTGCTTCACCAGTCAGTGTTACCAGTAAGTTGGCTACCTCCTCTTTGCATTGGCTTTGATTCAGCAGTGAGAGAGGATGACTTTGATTCCATGTCCTAGTGCGCCTACATCATTCCAGCCTAAAGGTTTATTTATTCATCCATCCATTCAGTCTAATTGCAATGGAGTAGTATTCAAACAAGGACTCAATATGCGACAGCAGACATCCATACAAACTACCCTAGCCTTCGGTTCTGTTCTTGTTATTACCAAGGCCCCATGTATTCTGTGGCAAGCTGGACCTAAATCATGCAGGAAGATCCTAGGTTTCTGCAGGGCACTGGCGCAATATACTGGAAATTCTGCAGCAGCTTTATTTAAATATTTTAATGGGGTGTTTTGACTAATTAAATATGATACTGAATAATCAACTTACTTCAATAACTGTGGTATTACTTTGACATTTAACTACCCAATTGGGGCGGCAGTTTAGGATTGTGGGGTGCAACAGTATATTTGTTGGCTATTTCTGTTAAAGTGATCAGCAGTGAAATAGTTAATTGAGTTGTCATTTACATTATCATCTTTAGGTTTCAGAGTCAACACCCACTGAGAGGAATAAGGCAGTTCACATCTCCCAGAGCTATTGTCTCAATCTGTCTGCAGAGTCAGGAACACAACACTCCATTGGTTTACATGTGTTTCCTGTTTTTAAGGTTTTCTTCACAGTCATGAGGCCTAGAAGCATTTTTTTTAAATGAACACTTAGATACCAAGGCAAGGGGTGGATCCAGAGCAGATTATGTGACATGGAATCATAGAATACACTCAGAACTGATTAGGGACCATCTTTTTGTCCTGTGTTCATACAGCACCTAGCACAGTGGGGTACTGGACCATGACTGGGACTACTAGATGCTACCAAAATATCAATAATAAATAATAACTATTATTATTCAGTTTACTACCAAAAGTGCACTAATCAATTCACAGCCTATATAAGAGTGGTCTGGCCCTGGAGAGCTTACAGTCTAAAAACAGACAAAGGAATGGGAGGAAAGATGAAACAGTTGTTTTGTCCCATATTTTGTCCTCTTTTGTTGATTTAGCCTTTTAGCCCTCATTTCTCTCTTTTTTAAAAAAATATTTCCATTAAAACTTTAGGATAATTACAAATAAACATTCTGCCAAAGGACAAATTGCAGGAATCTAATAATGCTGTATGTGCACAAGTCTCTACAGAGAAAAAAGGATCAATCCCTGCCAAGGAAAGTTCCCAGAAGAGTACATGATAGAGTCAGTAACCTTAGTCCTTGACCATTAAATTCAGTTTATGGTAACTTCTCTCATATTAATTCCTAGTTCATTTTCTATTTTTATTATTGCCAGTTCAATTTCATTTTCTCTGTGTGTGTATACACACACATGGGCACATGCACATACATACGCTCACTCCAAAGGAAAAGTATTATAAATAGGGCTAGTAAGCCCTGCCAGTTATTAATGTTGTCCAGTGCTTCCCATTATAATACCCTATTTTCAGTTGCTTATAACTTAGCCAAACTTTAAACTGTTTCAGTTGCCAGAAGTCTGCCTCAGTCTGATTCTTTTCTGAAAATTTCAGCGGTTCCCAAGAACAAGGCTATAGGAAAATACACTGTTTTGCTCATGTTAAAAAAAAATCTGGTGACCTTTTCTAGCAACCCCATACTTTGGAGCAGGGAATTTGAGGGAGAGGGGTGGAAGAGGAGGGTGGCCTTTGTGTCAGGGATGTGCCTTTTGCCATCCCTCTGAAACGCTTTCCAAATCTGGCCAAGTGATAGGCTTCGAAGGATTAGATTTTTATTGGTAAATGTCAAAAAATGTTAATATCACTGTACACACCCACCAACTGATGAAAAAATATTTTCACCGATAATAATAAAAAAGTTTAGATAGGCAAAGTAAGAAAAATGTTCCTTGAGAACTTGTTAGAGTTGATTAAGGATATTTACTTGATATATTTTTACACGTGATATTAACAATTTGTGTTTTAACAGTTATAGTTTTAACTTTTTGAACCTGTGTATCCTGTCATTTAATAAGTATTGTCTGAGCTCCCCACTCCTTCCTGACCTGTGAAAATTTAAATCAATAAAAAGCTACTGTGAAATTTTAAATTGATAAAAATAAAAAATGCTTAAAAATAAGCATCAATATTATCCATCAAAATTTTAAAAAGATAAAAATTTAATTCTGCCAAGCCAAATGATAAACTTCTGTGAAATTGCAATTTGTACATGCTCGGTAGAGACTTTGATTTTAGCAGTGAAAAATCTCCAAAGATTCTGACCTTACTGAGCATGCTTGCGCTTCTCACAACTCCTAGCACTGACCAGACTCTGTGTGTGTGCCAGTCCCACAGAGTGACATAGGCTATGTCTACACTACAGCCAGGATCAAGGCTCTGAGATCGATCCACCGGCGGTCGATTTAGCGGGTCTAGTGAAGACCCACCAAATTGACAGCAGAACGCTCTCCAGTCGACCCCTGTACTCTACCCCCGACGAGAAGAGTAAGATAAGTTGACGGGAGAGTTTCTCCCATCGACCCCCTGCGGTGTAGACCCCAAACCTAAGGTATGTGGACTACAGCTATGTTATTCACATAGCTGGAGTTGAGGAGTGTAGGTCAACTTACCGCAGTATTGTAGACCTAGCCTAAGTATGCTCCATTCCCCCTCCCCACCTCCACAGCTCCTGTGTGCAACTATACTGCCCGTGCTCCTGGTGCTTAAAGTCATCTGAAAAAAGTGGGGCCTCTGTAATCACCCACACATTCACCTGCCCTCCAGAACAGCAATTTATTCTGATTGGGCCCATACACTGGAACTGACAGCAGGGAGCTTCTCAATGCCCCTCCCGCACCCCTGCTAGCACTCAGGCAGCATGGAGGAGGACACTGCCTGATTCTGAATGCAGAAGGGAGGAGAGCTAGACCAGGGGGAGGGAAAGGAGTAGATTAGGATGAGTCTGATGAGACTGGGACTGGAGCAAGCGGAGGAGCCTGGGACTGAAAGAAATGAGATGATAGGACTGGGAGCCATGGAGGAAAGGAGGCTGAGACGTGGAGTTAGCAGTGGGAGGGGAGACTGGGAGTGGTTGGGCAAGACGACTGAGATGGGAAGTTGGGAGTAAGGGAGGCTGGGACTGAGACCTGAGGGGAGAGGCAAAACACATGGAGACTGAGAGCTCAGGATTGGGAGCTAGTAAAGGAAACAGAGGGAGAAGGCGGGACTGGCAGCCAGTTGGCTGTGTAGGGGACCACCAAGATCAGACAAGAAGCAGAGGGGGGATGGGAGACTGGGACTGGCTGGAGACTTGGACTAGGAACCAGTGTTGGAGGGAACTGCGGTGTGCGGGGGGGCAGACAGATTTCACAAGGACCTGCAGTGTGGGAGAAGAACTGGGAATGGCTGGGCCAAGTGGCTGGACCTAGGTGGCAGGAGGGAGGAGAGAATGGGAGTGGAGGGGGAGATTGGGACTCAGACTGCAAGCCCAGAGGGAGAGACAAGGATTGGCTGGCAATATGACTGGGACGAGAAGGCTGAGAAGTGGAGAATGAGATTGAGTGGATAAAGAGAATGGGATTGGGACAAGGAGCCAGGGTGGGGAAGAGACAGGATTGGATGGGGCAGAAGGGGACAAACCTGGGGCAACAGGAGAAGAATCTGTGTCCACTACAGTGCACACCCCTCCAAACCCTGGAAAGGAACACAAGACTCCCAATTCTCACCATTCCACTTCTGTCAGCAAATATCCATGAAACCCCATTGGGAAAGTATGTGTCTCTTTCTCCTTTAATGCTAGTCCACTTAGAGGATGACATCCTACTACTGCTATTGGTTGTTCCATTAGCACAAGTGGCAGAGGTCAGTGCTAATGATTGATAAAGGTGCAAATATGTGCCACATGATGCAATTTCTGTTTTATCAGTTTGCTATTTTTAAAAACCTAGAAAATTACACATGAAAATTACAAACAATTACATTAAAAGACAATTATGGTGGCAAAGTCAAACACTCAGAAATTAGGAAATGCCAAAATTAAGGTTGCTTGTGCAACTTTAATTCAGCCCTCTTACGAGTATTCATTTGACACACTATTACATGATCACATACTATCCTTTCCACAGGACCCTCTGCCTCCATCATTGCACAAGATGGACCTGATCTGGGGAGGAATCAAGATTGTGTGGTGAATGAGATCTTCCCTCTTGTGGCTAGATGTAGGTGATGCAGCAACTCTGCCTCAGTTTTCCCCACTGTCTTTTGGCCTACTCCAGTCATAGAGTGACCTGGCCCTCTGGCCAAGACAGGTTGAAGAGACCAGACCCCTTCCAGTGTCACAGAGTCCTTTACCAAAGTCCAGCAGAAATGTGTAAACAACCTAACCTTCCCCCCAGCTGGCTCAGCTCAGCTGTCTGTCACCTCATTGCAGGCATGCCTCCACTGCTATAGACACCTTCTTCTTGTCTAACCACAGGCTACCGTGCCTCAGTCAACCCCCCAGCCGAGAGGCTGGCACAATCCTCCCCTTAAGCCAGGGGTTCAGGCAGGCTACAGCTCAAAAGGGCCTGTCCAGTCAGGCTTCCAGCTCGCCCCAAGAGAAAGAAATCTGTTTGCATTTTACCCTTCCTCCTCCCAAGTGCTGTGCTTTCTCCTTTTTAAGTTGTGCATCCAAGACTAACAGCCAGTACAGATGCAGCCTCTGGCTGCAAGTTAACCCCTTCCAGACTGGGTTGGGGTCTAGATAGCCTGTCAGAAGGATCCTTGCTTCATTTCTTGCAGACGTTGGAAGTTATGTAGTGAGGCAGGCAGGGGATTGCTGGAGGAGAAAAGGTGGCCTCGTGTTTAAGACAGTCCTGTGCTGCCCTGGAGAACTGGATTCTATTCCTGACTCTGCCACAGAGTTCCTAGGTGAGTCACTTAAACCAAATTTTTCACGGGTGGTCATGAACTGTGTGCGTCTCAATTTCCGGATGTCCAACTTGGAACCCTGGGGTCTGATTTACCAAAGTGCTGAGTTCTCACAGCTGCAGTTGAAGTCAATGGGAGCTGCGCTTTGAACATAGAAAGCTATATAATGCTAAGGATTCTGAAAAGTCAGGTACTATAGGCCTCAAATTTGGCACACAATAGTAGTGCATACTTTTGACTTTAATCTGTCAGTGCCTCATTTTCTCATACGTAAAGCAAGGATACCACGACTCCCTCATCTCACAGGGGTGTTACAAAGGTGAATTAGATATTGCGGTGATGAGTGTTATAGAAAAGCCCATGCTGAAATTAATTCTTTCTTCAGAGCAAGGTTTGACTAGTGAACAGGAAACACAGCCTAGGGCCACACATGAAACAATGAGGATAAAACAAAATAGTGAATAGCTTCTCATTAAATTAGCACAGTCCATTCTGTGAACTGAGGGAGGAAGGAGTCCTGTGGAAAACACAATATGAGCTGATGTGATTAAAGATTGTGTCATCATAATGTACATGCACCAGGGGACTGTGCAGCCTTAATTCTGGCATTTCCTAACTTTTAGGTGCTTGATTTTGCAACCTTGATCATGTTCTTTTAACTTAGTGTTTCTTTGTATAATAATGTTTATGTTCCCCTTGCATTTTTCTAAATGTTTAATTTATTTCCACCCAACTCTCACCATTTCCAAAGCTCACTTGTTTCAATCACACATTCAAAACATTCATATTGATAATAAAACCACCATTTATCCCTTCCCTAGTATAACTAACCCTGACCTACTGTCTCTCTCTTCATCCATCCACCAGATACATTGAAGCTGTAGGCCTTTAATCTGACTTCCTCCCTGCACTTCTCTCATCACAATCACCTTCTGCCCTGTTTGCCAAGGTTCAATGAGGGGTCAAAATCCTGCACAAAATCCTATTTGCTTCCCTCACAAGGATTTGACACCTTGACTCCCCTTTCTCCCTCGCCTTCTTTCCACCTGACCCATTCCACTGTTACCTCTTCTCAGATCATACAGAAGCCAGGAGCCAAGGATAAGAGGTCATATGCAGGGATGTAGGAAAGTGCCACTCTTCTCATCAGTGTCTCTTCTGTCTTACCTGGATTAAATTTGAGTCAGCAGCTTTTTCATCTAGATGCTTATCTATTGCAGGAACTCTGGCATCTGGGAATTGCTGTTATTTGTGCCTGCTGAAAAGGAGATGTAAACTGGGTGTCATCAGTATATTGGTGGCACTGGAGCCCGTGGCATCTCCTAACCTCTTCAAGAAGCCTCATATGTATATTGAAAAAGAGAGGAGCCAGGATTGAGCCCCGCAGGATTCCCCATGATAGGGTTCTTGGTGTAGAGGAGTGGTGGCCCACCACAATTTTCTGGGTTCCATCTGAGAGGAATAACTGAAGCTAGTTTAGTGCTTCCTCTCCAGTCCTGCCAGGTGGCGTACGCCATCAGCAGCACATTATGACTGATGTATGAAATTTCAGAGTGCTGGACAGAACAAAAAGAAAAGGAGTGCTTGTGGAACCTTAGAGACTAACCAATTTATTTGAGCATAAGCTTTTGTGAGCTACAGCTCACTTCATCCTCACGAAAACTTATGCTCAAATAAATTGGTTAGTCTCTAAGGTGCCACAAATACTCCTTTTCTTTTTGCAAATACAGACGAACACGGCTGTTACTCTGAAACCGGACAGAACAAAATGGGTGCCATTTAAGGTTTTCACAACACACACCATCTTCCTAGAATGGTTAGACTGTGCCAAAACTGTGATTAGAATTATATTAGCTACAACTGCATTTAAACTATTGTTGGTACCAGGGATTTTAGCGTGGTTCCCCTGATTAATATGTAACCCTTTTGCCAGGTGGAGCCGGCAGTAACCAGGTCCAGGTTCAATATCTAGGGGTTCCTTTTCAACAATACAACATAGAACCAGCTCAAACCCCCACCCAGTGACCTGGGACAATTACACACTATCCCTGGGTGCCTCTGAGAGGCAATACTTCTCCACTCGCAAGCACAGAGTCCGAGTGTAGAAAAATAACTTTTAATGAAAGGAGAGAAGCAGGGCGGCTCTAGGATTTTTGCCGCCCCAAAAAAATTTTGGCGGCCCCCGCTTTTCTTTCTGCCCCAACTCCACCCCTTCCCAACCTTTTCCCCAAATCCCCAGCCCCGCCTCCTCCCCCAGGCGTGCCGCCACTCGACTTCTCCTCCCTCCCAGGCTTGACGCACGAAACAGCTGTTTTGTGTGCAACAAGCCTGGGAGGGAGCGGGGAGAAGCAGAGCGGCGGCGGTGCGCTCAGGGGAACAGGTGGCGGCGGAGCGGAGACGAGCTCGGGCACATTTCTAGGGGCTGCATGGTCGGCGCCGGAATGCTGCTCCTAGAAATGTGCCGCCCCAAGCACCGGCTTGTTTTGATGGTGCCTAGAGCCGGCCCTGGAGAGAAGTCACCTGACATTAATTAGGGTAAATGCCACAAGCAGGATTCATAAACCTAAAACTATGAGCAGGACACCCACCCCAAAGAGTGTGGGGAAGTGTCTTCTGCCTCCTGGTCTTGAGTTCTACAACCAAAAGTCCCGTTACTGTGTCCCCCTCTGTTCCCTCACCATATCCCACTCACAATGGTTGTCCTTGGTCAGTGAGGACCCAGGGTTCAGAGATGCATCTGTGTGAGTTCACATCCCACCCAGGGAAGAAGGCACCTGGCTTGCTCCACCATCTGAGCACATGCTCTGCCTGGCTGCCTCACCAGCCACTGTTCCTCGCTGGCTGGCCACCCTGCCAGCCAACGGCTCGCCACTTTCACCGGCTGCTCCTGCCAGCCAACAGCTCGCCACTTGCGCCAGCCACTCCCACGGCTGCCCATTAGTCACCTTCTGCTGCCACCTGCTTCTCCACTGTGACCTCTGTAGGTCAGTCTCTTAGTGATTTTCTTAGCTCTCAGCAGGCTGGACAGAAACACTGCCGCCACCACTAGTTATTTCAGCTCTTATTGAGTACTTAAAATAACAAAAGGCTCCTAATGAAGCCTCTTTAGCTCTATTTTTGAATAGTGGGTAGAAACAGGTAAAACCAGACCGGAGACCCTTAGGGAGAGTCCACACCTCCTTGCTGGGACATCTGTCCCCACCCCTCTTACTTTCACAGGGGTCTGGCTTTCGAGGCCCTGGCTTAACAAGGTCCTCTCAGCTGAGGGTGACCCCCTCATTTGGGACAGGCTAAGCACAGTTCTGTTCCCCTTTATTCATACAATAAAGACAACAACATTGATAACAACATTTCACTACCCCTGCATTCAGTAGTAAAGTGATTAGTAACCCAACACCAGCCAAAGTTGATCACTTTGAGCAACACCACTCTATCTGCTGGATATTTTGGCAGAATAGGTGCTTTCATGTAAATACAGTTTGCGCCTGAAGTCTCTCCTGCTCCCAGCTAGCTGTCAGGGGAGAGTTCATTCAGACCCTACTTACAAGTAGGGACAAGGATTTTTTTTCTGAGAGCCATGCTTTCCAAACCATCATATAGACCACATATTAGTTTACAGCACAGCCTTGTAATAGGGTTCTAACAAAGCTTTCAGCCAAAATTACTTGCTAGACTATGGTTTTAGCGAGCACAGTTCCAATGGTGATGGCTATTGCTTATCTGTCTCATCACAGTGCCTAGGAGCCCTGCCATAAATCAGGACTTCTCTGTGCTAGGTGCTGTACAAACACAGAACAAAAGGATTGTAAGATGTTTGGGGGCAGAGACAATCGAAGTATAAGGAAACAGACAACAGATGACTACAGATAAACAGAGAATTACAAGGAAACAATGAGACAATATTGGCCAGCATGATAGCAGTGGTATCAGTGCACCAGTAGCCCAACTGTTGTCAATTTTTTTTTGTAGGGATCAGAGCAAAGGTGAGTTTTGAGCAACATTTTGAAGGGGGATAATGAGTTAGTTTCATGGATGTTTATGGCGAGCTCCTCCCACACATGCGCGCAGCATGGGAGAAAGCACAAAGGTTCTTGTTTGAAAATTAACAAGTAGACAACAGAGGCTGGTATTGAGCCAATTGGAGCAAATGAGAGATGATAGGCAGAGTGGGGATAGGCCATGAAAGGGCAGCTTATGTTTGATGAGCTGGAGAAGGGGAAGACAATGGAAGCATACAAGGCAGGGCAAAGTGATGGCTAAGAACATGATCTTTGTAGCGGCATTGTGAATGGACATGAATGGGTAACAACTGCATTTGTCAAGGCCAAAGAGAAGGATTTTACCACAATAGAGACTCAAGATGATCAGAGCTTGGATGAGTGTTTTAGCTGAGTGGATGGATAAGGAAGGCTATATCTTAGAGGTGTTATGCAGAAAGAATCAACAAGATTTAGACCTAGCCTGGAGGTGAGGATCCAGAGAGATGTCCAAGTTGAAGATGATGCTCAGGATATGGGCCTGATTTACAGGCAAGATGGTGTTGTTGTTTACAGTGATAGAGAAAGGAGATGTGGAGGAGGAGGTCAGGGGATGGACTGGGCTGTAGAGATTGCTGGGCCCTGGTGACAGACCCCATGGTATAGAACAGTCCAACACCCAGGCACTGGCAGGAGGCAGCTCCCAGCCTGTGGGGCCCCAGTTAATGGAAAGCACAGAACCCCTGCCACGCATGAAGCCACCTGGGCTGGGACTGCTGATCCCCCTCACACAGGGGGCAGTGGGTTCCTTTTCACTGAACAGAATCAGAGTTTCCTCACCTTGGCCCCTAAAACTCCAGCCTGGCCCTGCCTCACACCTTGCCGCGCCTCCCCACCACCACCACTGCCAGTCCTCAGCCTCGCTTCCTGTATTCCACATCCCCAATCCCTCCCAGCCTGTACCACTCACCCAGCCACCCGCACTCCACACCCCCAGCTCCCCTGTATCCTCCCACTAGTCCACACACACACACTCTGCACCCTCAGTGTGCACCCCTCACCCACAGCCCAGCCCACACCCCCACATTCCACACCTCCAGCCTGCACCCCCCACCTGGCACCCTCTGTAACCCCTGCACCTTTCTGAATGCACTCTTCACTCTCGAACTTGCAGTATTCGCAGTGGTAGCACCTTCAGAGCCTGGACATAGTTGAAGTGGCAGCCAGGGCTGATGTGGAGCTGGGTGGGTTGCTGCACTTGTGGCCAAAGCCCCTGCAGCACTCACAGTGCCACTAGGAGTAGCTCTGAGTTGCTGAGTGCTGAGTCATGGCCATGGCAGTGAACTTACCTGTGATGGGGGTGGGGAGTAGGAGCGCTTCCCTAGCACCCCAGGTGGGGGCTGATTCCTGCTCCTTGGAGCCCTGGCTGGTAGCTGCCCTCTCCTCCAGGCAGTTCCACCAGCATCATCCCTTGCCACCGCCACTGCCACCCTGGGCAACTGCCTAGTCTGCCTTTAGCTAGAGCAGCCTCTGCTCATCCCTCTGCCCCTTTCCCAAACTATGGTTCTATTTTAGAACTTCATCCTGCACTTTTTGTAGATTCACAGATTCCAAGGCCAGAAGGGACCATTTTGATCATCTAGCCTGTCCTTCTCTACAGCACAGGCCACGGAACTTCTCCAAAATAATTCCTAGAGCAGATCTATTAGAAAGACAGCTACTCTTGATTTAAAACTTGTCAATGATGGAGAATCCACCACGCCCTTCATACATTATCCCATTGGTTAGTGCCTGCTTTCTCTGTGGGTAAAGGCTGCAGGATCTGACCCAGAGAAAGTGATCTGCTTGATTGGGCCGTTTAGGCAGAGCCTCTTAAAGGGCTTTGGGAAGATGCATTGCCCCTGGAGGAGTACTGAGAAGCATTCTACTGGAGTGGGCATGCTCCTGAAAGAAGCATGCCATCTAATAGGCTACAGCTTACTTTCCCATATGTTCCTACACAGCTGGGCAGCTCTACTGGCTGGTGCATTGTGCATGGAGCTGTGGCCATGCCTCCCTCCCACCCTCAGTGGGGCACCGTGCACGCAAGAGAATAAAAGGAAGCAGAACCTGTATTCCCATGAGCTCAGGGACTTGAATTCTGCACGGTCCATACAAAAGGAGAGA